TCTGGCCACCTCGGGCCTTTTTCCAGCCTGAACCCACCTCAGCCAACATTGTGTGACGAGGCAATCGGTGACTAGGCATACGTAGTACGTGTCCCAACCATCTCAGTCGATGAAGGTTCACAACCTCGTCGACTGACTTACCTCTTCTCCCTAAAACTCTACACCTAACTTCTGCATTACTCACATGGTGACACCACGGAATACGTCCTATACTACGAAGGCAACGGTGGTCAAATACCTGTAACCTTCTCATGTCTTCCACTTTCAATGGCCATGTTTCACAGCCATACAGTAGAACAGAGCGGACTGCTGTGCAGTACACGCGACCCTTAATAGACAAACGAATATCACGGCGGCGCCATAGGTGGCGCAAATTGGCAAAAGCCAATCGAGCCTTTTGTATCCGTGCAGAAATCTCATCGGCAACTAACCCACCGGAGTTGATCCTACTTCCCAGGTAAGTGAAGTGGTCAACACACTCAACCACTTCACTCTCTATTGTTAACCGCGGTACCGCTGAAGACCAGTCCTGGAGCAAAAATTTGCATTTGGGTGGTGAAAATCGCATCCCAAACATTCTCAAATTCCCACTCAAAGTGTTCAGAAGACTCTGCATCTTGTCAGCGTCTTCACCTAACAGGACTATGTCATCTGCATATTCTAGATCTAAGGAAAATTCACCTGTGATCCGGTCAACGTCTTTGTAATTAGGTGACGAGAGGGAAACCTCCATAAGAATATCTATGATAAAATTAAATAAGAATGGGGATAGTGGGCATCCTTGACGGACACCACTTGATGAGTATAGCTCCCTGGACAACTCACCATAGGCTCTAACATGCCCACAAGTGTTCGAGTAGAGAGCTTTCAATAAGGTGATGTACTTACTAGGCACGCCTTTCAGTGACAGACACTGCCATAAGACTTCTCGATCAACGGAGTCAAATGCCGCCTTCAGGTCGAGAAATACAGCTATTGTCGGGCGTCTGTAAGCATGCCTATGTTCCAGGACCTGGCGCAGTGTGAATATTTGGTCGATACATCCACGGCCAGGTCTAAAGCCTGCCTGGTTTTCTCGGGCTTGCTGTTCCCGAGCTCCACTCAGGCGTCGGAGAATTATAGAACTTAGGATCTTAGACACTATGTTTGTCAGGCTGATTCCTCTGTGGTTATCACAAGAGGACTTCTCGCCTTTCTTGAAGACTGGGATGATCAGTGACTTAGACCAGTCGGAGGGGATCGTATTTGATTCCCATATACTGGCTAACACTTCCGTTAGCCTGACTAAGAGAACTCTACCACCATTCTTGTATACCTCAGCAGGTAGTCCGTCTGGTCCTGCTGCCCTTCCCCGTTTCAGGCTACCTACCGCTTTCTCAACTTCTTCTAGTGTTGGGGGACCTGTCTCTATGTCCCATTCAGGGTCCGACTGGATAGCGGGCAGCGCAATGGTGGCTGGAGGCCAGTTAAACTGTTCCTCAAAGTGTTCTGCCCATCGTCCCAGTCGCCTTCCCTGCGAGTGAATCGCCGATCCGTCCTTCTCCGCTATAACCTCACTAACTGTTGTTGACCATTTCCCCCCAGTCTCCTTAATAAGTCTAAATAACTGTCTACTGTTACCGATCGCCGCTGCCTTTTCCATCTCTTTAGCCTTTGCTGCCCACCACTGTTCACGATCGTTGCGCAGACTTTTCGTCAGTTTATTTTTAAGTTGCGCTCGCTCTTCATTGTACTCAGAGCCTGCAGGGATGCATTCACGTGCATCCATTAGTTTGGAAGAAGCTGCTGATATCCACTGGCTCTTTTTAGCCATTATCTTGGAGTCGGCTACAGTCTCCAGTGCTGCTTTTACAGTAGACTGAAGATGGCACCAAGCTTCTTCTGGATGAGTGACAGTCTTTTGTTCCGATAACTGCCTAGCCAACTTCTCACTGAACACGGCTTTGGTGTTTTCGTTGTCCAGCAGAACTCGTAGTGGTTTTGTTGCCAAATTTTTTCTACGTCCATTGAGACGCAGGCATATACGTGCTCGGACCAACGCATGATCGCTGTCCAAACACGTACTCCAGAAGGAGCGGCAGTCTTCCACCGATCCTCTCCAGCGATGACTAATAGCAATGTGGTCTATCTGTGTCCATCGCTGAGTCGAGCTCGGTGGACGCCAGGTCAGACAGTGCCTTTCTTTATGTCTGAAATTTGTGCTGGCTAAAAATAGGCGGTTATCTGAGCATAGTTGTAATAGGCGATCACCGTTATCTGTACGTTCAGCTGGGATTCCGAAAGTGCCACCTAAGTGCCTTTCTGCCTCACTCAGTCTACCCACCTGTGCGTTGAGGTCACCTGCAACAACCACTACGTCCGAACGTTTGGCTTTCGAGAGGAGGTTAGACAGTTTATGGTAGAACTCGTCCTTCACTTCATCCGAACTACAGTCAGTGGGTGCGTAAGCAGAGATTACAAAGAGACAACGGCGAGTCTCACTATTCCTTTTAGTTCTCACTGTGCCGTTCAGCCTCATAGCGCAGAGGCGACTATCAACTGGGATCCAGTCTAGTAGTGAGTTTTCTGCCCTGGTGCTTAATGCTATACCTACACCTGCAAGACCACGAGAGCTAGCTATCGAATCTCCAGAAACTCGAAGGGTGAATTTTGCAGATTCACCAGATTGGTCAGGAGAGGTCAGGTGAATAACCACACTTGGGTCCTGTATGCGTGTCTCACAAACACAGCACACATCCATGCCCGAGTTGCTAGAGTCTTTGCCAACGAAGCCTGTTGGCCAATTTGACGGAGGGTGCGGACATTGAAGGCTCCAATATGTAATTTGGAGCGTGGTTTAAGGAGACCAGGGACACTGTTCTGTGGACTCAGATCGTTGTCGAAGGCTGCAGAGGTAGGAGAAATTGAAGATGATGCAGCATCATTAATTAAGAGACGTGAAGGAAGATTAGAAGGTAATGATGGAGGAGGAGGATAGCAGTCAGAAGAAACTTGGGTGCTGACAGAGTTGTGAGGGCGGTTGACACTTCCCGGCTGCCCACACCGTGGAAGGCTATTTCTTCTTAAGGTACCTGAAAGAGATTTGTGTGACCGCAGAGCCCATCGGACATCTGCTTGAGGCCTGTCACACCCAGCCTTTTGAGTATGATTATTTTGAATTTTTGTATTTTTGGGGCCGGATAGTCGAAAGGAAACGACAAGTGAACCAACACCGCCGGCCCGGCAGACCGTGGGGCGTGGTGGAGTGTGTTATTTTTGGGGCCGACCTTTTCTAACCCCCCCTTCCACTGAGAAGGCAGCATCAGCTTGGCACTGCTGGTCATCCAAGGGAAACACCTTACTGCTGTCACACCCCATCCAGCTAGCAGCAGTACGACTTCGCCCTCAGACCCCCATCATAGTATAGCAATTTACACTATGACGGTAACTGCTTTTCGTCTAACCACTACCCAACAGACCTTTCTGGTATGGTAGGACCTCGAGGGAACAAGCGTTCCACCAGCATAGCTCGTTGGGTCATTGTGATATGCAAGCCCGACCACCACGTCAAGGTAGCAGCTATCGGTCGGGAGATCTGCAGGCAAAAACTAACAAGTTGATAGAAGAGGCAGGGCAGCGAAGACGGGACTTCAAGTGAATATAGAGAAGACAGAAGTGATGAAGATACCGCACCACCACCAACATCAACAACAACAACAAACTCCAATCACCGTCAACGGGAGAAACTTGAAGGAAGTAACCTCCTTCACCTATCTAGGAAGCACTGTTTCAACTACAGGCGGGACGGACGAGGACGTCAAAGTCAGAATCGGAAAAGCAAGACAGGCCTTCATTAGCCTGAAACCAGTGTGGAGATCTCCTGCACTCAGCATGCGGAACAAGATCCGGATTTTCAACACCAACGTCAAGTCAGTGCTCTTGTATGGCTCAGAGACTTGGCGCGTCACGAAAGGTATTTCCAATAAACTACAGACATTCATCAACAACTGCTTACGCTCGCTGCTGAAGATCAGATGGCCAGAAAGAATAAGCAACAAGGAACTCTGGCTAGCTGGCAACGAACCAACCAAGAACCTATCACTCAACAAATATGCATGAAGAAGTGGAGATGGATTGGCCATGCACTGAGAAGGCCGACTGAGGACATCACGCGTCAGGTCCTCGAGTGAAATCCCCATGGGAAGCGACGAGTTGGACGTCCGAGGGTGACATGGAGGAGGTCGTGCGAGGAGGAAATGAGAGGTTGTGGGCTGTCGTGGGACCAGGTTCAAAAGATCTCAGAGAACAGAGGTCACTGGAGGCGTGCTACTGAAGCCCTGTGTTCCACTAGGAACCCAAGAGACTAATAATAATAATAATAATAATAATATGAGATCCCCCACAAAGTTACGTTAAACTAGTCGAATTACTTTTGAATTATTAAGTAGCCTAATAATAACCTCAAAATAATCAACCCTAAGTGAAATAGCTTAAAAGCGAACAAACATTTGATATTCTTTCCTGCCTAAATGAAGAAAACAACCTAAAACCAAATAAAAAAACAACTTGGCAGCTAGCTTTACAGTATTTGCTTAACCGATCTAGATTCTGCTTCATGTCCTGTAGTTTGCTGCTTACAGTGAATACTTTATTCCATTGACAGTGATGATCTAATCAATCACTACCTGATTATAGGCACATTTATCAACTCAAACTACAAAAAGGTCCAGAAAGTGAGCTATTGGTGAATTCTAGGTAAAATATACAGATTTGGATTGATAACAGGAAGTGAAAGGAAAACCAGAGTCACAGTAAGACTAAAACCAGAGGCCTCCAAATGAAGACACGAGGTATTACCAAATGAACTATGAGACGAAAATACACCTTTCGGAATCATGCTGAGGCCCTGATTTCCACTTCACCTTCAATGATTAAATCGTACTACTGATATAATCGTACCAAAATGTAACCATCTTCAGTGGTCTTGTAAATAAAATATATAGGTTATCAGTTAAACTGACCTGTTCAATGGGTTGACCAGCTTGGTAGGCATAAAATGACTTGGTTGCATCATGTGAACTTGTAGGATACATAGGTTTGTCAGCATAGGGATTAGACTCTAAAGAGTTACTAGTAGTATCAGAATACTGTGAGGTAATTTCCAGTGGGGTTTCAAAGTGTGATATATTGACTTTAGTGGGTAAGATTAATGCATCTGCTTGACTAGAAGATGAAATTTTGCTTGGTGTTTTAGCCGGTGATATATTTTTATTAGACTGCCCATCCGATGAAGCTATCTCATTATGAAGTACTAGACTTGGATTTAAAGATGGACTCATACTGATTGCAGATAATGCTGATACAGATGACTCAACACTGGAACTATGGCGTAACCAACGACTTGTCATATTCGGTACATGACGCCCAGAAAGTAATTGACACATTTTATTAATCTGTTAAAAAAATGAAAAGAAATCAAAGATCACTTGAGGGGGCAAACAGAACAGAATTGAGTTTATTTGAGGAGTTGGTTCTAATACCTGCTGCTGGACTAGAATAATTATAAAAGTCTGCTTCATGTTCATCAAATTTAATCAGGAAACTAAGAGTGAACTATCTTTTTGTACAGTGTGTAAACATAAACTGCTGGAAGATGTCGTATAAATATACATGTTATTCAGATGCTGAGTGTCTATTGGCAGGAAGTTTTCCACTCGTGTTCCACGTTTGTTGGTTTCCATCAATAAGACGTAACCTGAAGCGTGAGGAAACTGTTGTTCTCTCAATAATTCAAACTTGTTTCACTTAGCGGCCAAAGTCAAAGACTTAAAAACCAAGCTATTCAGATCATACTTATTCGAGAAACGTCAGTCCGTATTCAGCAGTTAAGATGTGACAACTATATTTGCTACCATGTTTTGACAGACTCATGACTTCAAATGCAAAAATATGCAATGTGGTTTGCCTCTGTTCATTTGTTCACTTGAACTTCATATAATCTGCGGTACTGCATCATTTTATTTAAACTACTATTTATTCTGGATAGCTGGTTTGCTATTATTCAGGTATTAAGTTGTGGCACTTCTATTGGGATGTTTCATTATGAATGACAAGGCAGTATGACCTTTCAGAGAATTGAATATTGACCGTTAGGGTTGCACAGCTAATGTTCAATTTTTAAAGAAAATTTAGTTTAAAAAGTAGTACAGTTTTATCTGTCCACTTCTTAGGTAGACATACGGTTTTTATATTTTCGCGATGCGACGCAAATGCAGTAAGCAAAACAAAATATTTGTTATAGTTAGTAGTTTGAATTATAAAACATATTTTAAAAATACTGAGTCATTCATTTTAAAACATACACTGTCTACAGCTAAAAAAAAATACCCTTAAGTGAAATAAGAAAGCAACAATAAGGCAATAAAATGACTTGAAGGATGATAAACATTTCTGAATTACTATAACAAATCATGCTTATTTCTTAAACAATGAGTAAATGTGGATATTTATGCCAGGCCCTCAACGCTAACCTAGCCAATGCTGAAATAATCAATTAGATTTCTGTATTTCACACGAAAAGTACTTATTTCACAAAATAAAGAAACTTAATTAGTTATTAATTAGTTGCTAAGATGGTCTATAGAATTATGTTGCATTTAAGCATAACTATATCGACTAGCATTTCGACAAGGATATAGTATTGGCTTTGAAAACTTCAACTGAATTATTCGAATGATAGTTCATCGTTAAGACACTGTTGTTTGTCAGTGTGAGCTTAGTAAAATCTCTAGGTTTATTGACTGTTTAAATAAACCCATGCTACTTCCAATCATATTTGTTCATACTTACATTCACAATGACGTAACCAATCCAACTAAATATCTGTCAAAAATACAATCACTAGTAGTATATTTCACATATAAACTGGTAATTTTATCCGGACTAAATCAAATAACATAAAAAGCAGAGTTTTTTGAAAAGAAACAAACTGGCTCGAAATACAAAAGTGACGAGTAGTAGCCGGGTGAAGGTATAATAATCACTGCTTAGTTCTGAATCAGTTTGCCATCTTACTATGATCCAGCAAAAACTTCGTCCTTTTATCTGAAGTAGAAAATTTATTCATCTCATTGAAGGATTTTGTGAATGATTATTTTTAAGCAGTTTATGTAATGAAAACGAATAAAAAGAAATGGAGACGAGAAATTTATTGTCAACACAAGTTGTAGTGTTATTAAGAAAAGTAAATCTCAATGAAGACAGTGCACACATCTTTGCATCTTGCAAGAGGGAGATATTAAAATATGATTCTCCATCTTAGGAGAAAGTCCAGTAAAAATCAGATTTTTTGTATATTTTCAGTAGTCATGAATTACGACAACAAAACGGAATTTTGTTCGGCAGACTAAGTAACTGATACTTTAAATGACAAAAGGAAAATTGTTCTCTGAAAAACTCATAATTATCTGGATATCCACATTAGATACTAAGAAGTTAAGGAAAAAAGTAATTTAATTTGGTCGACAAAGTCAATTGCTGCTGCTAACACAGGAAAATAATGAAAACTAATCTTAAATTGCTAAACATTTTATAATGTCTTTTTATATGCGATTTACGTACAAGTGTTAATATACGGGAATTTCGCCACAATCCAACATTAGAAACAGAATTATTTGCTGATGTTATGTGTAACTAAATACAATATAGGTATACAAAATATAAAATAAATGAATCAGAAAAGTATCACAAGCAGCTTTCATTTAAAAGTACGCAGGGATAATTAATTGGTTATCATCTAAAACCCAGTCAGATAGACTAAGGGATGGTAATTTTAGATTACTATTAAACAATAAAGTGATAATTAGGTTGATTATCAGCCTTATCCGAACAGATCAGGATGATTTCACCACCAAAGTTTGTTTTCTCCATTTTTTTTTAGCTGAGGTGATCTATCACTGTTGTGCCGAGATAAATTCAGCTCACACAGCCGAAATGCTAAGATCAGCTAAAGTTACTTAATTGGGCTGTATAGATGAATATGCCACAAAGTAAATAAAGTTTGTAGATCGATGTTACTAGTTCCCGAGAGCTTATCTTGTTCGGGGGTTTGTTTCCTTGTTCCATAATACTTGTGTTGGAGACTAAATTCTGTGATCTTGGTCGAGTAATTTTCAATGCAAATTCCACTCGTAACACAGATGGGCAGTCGAAAAACTACTGCGGTATATACAGTTGTCAAATTAGACTGCTTAATTTGCGAATAATTTGCGTAGTGATCCGTTAAATAAGTTTGCCACAGTGTTCTTTTACACTGAACCAACTACATTCACTTAATCTTGATGTACTGTGTTACATAATTCTTATTACAGGTCTTACTTGTTAACCACCTTGATAGATAATGTTATATTTAATGGAGCTGAAAATATTACAGCTGAGTTATCTCACTCGCTGCAGAATATTTAAAAGTGTATAGTATTAGCATAAACGGTGGAAGTTTTCAAATCTTCCCAAAAATAAATATGCAGAGAGATACCGTATAATCTTTCTTCATCCTTAAAAAGCTACATCTACTTATAATCTGCATATATTAGGCCTTTTTTCTAAACGCAACAACCAGTGTAAATAAATTAAGAAAGGTCAGTAAAATGAATAGTTCATACTTGGGAAATAATTTATTTACAACTGACCATATCAGGGTATGAATGGCATTTATTCCCTTGACCTGTTTGCTTGGAGAGAAAGAAATCTTATTTCAATACCATTTTACCTCATACCTATATTGTTGTTGGTACAACTGCTACCAGTTATATATATATATATATATATATATATATATATATATATATATATATATATATGCATGCTGGGATGCATAGTACTATAATAGTGAAGTACTTCTTCGACCAGAAAAAAATGTTTTCAAGTGACTTCACAAACCGAGTAGATGATACTGAAACAAAACAAGAATGCGCCTAATTATGTATGCTTACATGCTGATGGGTTCAAAGCATACACAGAAAATTATATCTTACGATCATTTAAGTCACACATAAGACGATATACTCTGTCATTTCACGGAATTCACATACAGTTAACTATCCTGCGTTCCCCAGTCAGTTGTTTTTTTTACCTATTTATCAACAAATATCTATGATCAGAAAAGGGCAGCGTGGCTAGCTACTGCCCATCATTATAAATAGTAACTATTATTATATAAGTAAGTTTCAATATAATCTCAGCGTGTTTAAGAAAACCAAACCAAGATTTTCTGAACGTTTCTCTGTGTACGTCACAGCTTCATCAGCAGAATAAATGGTAACTGTTTTATTTTTCTAAATTCAAATAGGCTGAAAATAGACAAACGAAAAAAAGCTAGCATCGTCGGTATTTACTCCTATTTTCAAAGTCTTACTTCCATCTCCGTATTCCTTTTCCTAAAGAAAAAGAATAAGCTGGGAAAACTAACTCTTTCCACCTCCTATAATATATTCATTCATTCACACGTGAAAGAACTAATCGAATAATGAAAATAAAACAATCTAACGAACAAGCGGGAATTGAGGCGAAAAAAGTGGTCCTTATTAGCATTGTTATGCTTACCAACAAGTTAATATAGTTTCATTCAAAAACATTAGGACAGGTGTGGAACACCTGTTACTATTGCCTCATCCCATCAACGAGACTCAAAGAAGAGAAGACAGTAAAAAACAGAGCTGAAGATTGCGCAAAGTAAACCAACAGCGATATGATTATCTTTTTTTTCTTATGAATGAATGAATGAAATTTACTACTGTGAAGTATTGACCAAAACCATCTTTCTACTGTTTGTTTTTATTTCCTCATTTTTTAGACCGATGTTTCGTATATTAATCACAAAAATATAACATGTTAAGTTTTATGGTAGTATGAATAAATGATTTTTAAAATCAAGGATGAGTGAGGGGATATTAAAAACGAAATACTGATGGAAATCATACTACGTTATCAGATGGAAATTAGGGTTTACACTTCAGGAATAAAGTTGACGCCTGATTTCTGAGCAGAATTCGGTTATGCTTCTTAGATAAGATGCAACATGTTTAATGAATGCCTCAGCTAGTAGTTGGGATTGAAACATAGCTTTGTTTTACATTTGTTAGCATGAAATTATTAAAAATAAATCCATCAAACAGTGAGCGTAGCATCTTTTGGCCTCCGAAAACCAATTGTCCTAAATGAATTTTGAAGCACATTGTGTATTTAAACTCTAAGCGCAACTGAGTCGTAGTCAAAACACTATTACCTTTCACCTTCCATATTCATCGCATTTCGCACATGTATTTACAGTATTCATATGCAGTCTCTACGTGACTTCAGCTGAGCAGTGTATTGATTTGACAGTGCACTGGTTACGTGAGCAAGTACTCAGTAACCATTTCCAATGGATGTGCACGAAGCTGGACGACATCAAGTA